ACTAGGTTTTGTTAGACTCAGTATAGCAGTGTAACAAATAATACTGAGCCTAGGTTTACTTAGACTGCTGCCAGTACTGGTCAAATTTAATTTCTCACATGGTGTCAAGGTGTAGTCATACAGTACTGCACAATCATAGCTTCCCATTGAGCGTCAGGGTGTACTTATACAAAGATATGAAAATATGACCTCCCACACATTGTCAGGGTGTACTCATACAAAACTATTAAAATCTAATCTCCCACAAGGTGCCATGGTGTGTTGTACAGTTCTGTTAAATTATAGTTTCCCACACAGTGTCAGCGTGTACTCATACAGAACTATTAGAATCTTACCTCCCATGGTGTCAGAACTATTGGAATCTTATTTCCCACACAGTGTCAGAACTACTGGGATCTTATTTCCCACACAGTGTCAGAACTATTGGGATCTTACTTCCCACACACGGTCAGGGTGTACTCATACACAACTATTTGTTTCCGATCTCCCACAGTGTCAGGGTGTACTCATACAGAACTATTAGAATCTTACCTAACACAAAAGTTTCAGGGTGTACTCATACAGAACTATTGGAATCCTACTTCCCAGGGTGTACTCATACAGAACTATTGGAATCTTACCTCCCACACACAGTTTCAGGGTTTACTCATACAGAACTATTGGAATCTAATCTCCCACAGTTTCAAGGTGTACTCCTACAGTACTGTTCAGGTATAACTTCCCACAAAGTGTCACCTGGTCAAGGTACACTCATGCAGTACTATTCACATAGGCGGATCCAGAGGAGGGGTGCAGGGGTGCGCACCCCCCCTTTTGTGGTGAACGTTTGTTAAATGACCATTGAAACTCGGGTGAAAATGAAGTGTGCACCCCTCCTTTTCTCAATAGTGTGCACACACACCCTCTCTCAAAAAGCTGTATCCGCCCCTGATTCAGTTAGAACTTCCAAACAGTGTCATGGATCACACCATATTCACAGCATATGTTTACTAATTTGTTTACTGACAGCAAGTTTTAATAAGACGGCCACTAGGAGTTCTTTGGACCAGAGATGTTAGCGGACATGGTTGTATCAGTGGTTTTTATCTCGTACATTTATCCTCACATCTTACTGTGATACAACATCTATACTCACCTTGGATTCTGGGTATTGCCATCTTGACTTGTTTTTATCTTTCGTCATTGAAAAGAAACTTCTGGTCATCTAGGGATAGCACAAGGAAACAGAAAATGTAAACAAACTGCCAGAAATATTTTGCAAGAATTCCCAAGTAAGAGCCCTTGGCAAATTTCCAAAGAAATGTCATTTTGTTCAAAAAATTTATTTTAAATTAATAATTATTTTCTTTTTTGGAAAGGTATTTTAGGATTGTGTTTTATTATTTCATTTGATCGAATACCATAAAATGAAGGATAAAAGCTACTTTATCTTTATTGGTCCTCAGTGGTTATCAGTGAAGGACAAGGTACCATGACCATGGTGTTTGAACCAACTTCGTTACATCTGTGGTATCGTGAATTGGAAATTTTATTGATCTACATTAGTCTGAACCAATTTATTGCATTCAAGTTCTTGGCATTCATGTAGTGGTTAAAGCGTTGGCTCGTCATGCCGAAGACCCGGGTTCGACTCCCCACTCTGGGCAATATGCATACACCTGTTGCCCATACACCTGTTATTAAAATTCACTTTGCTTTTTGACAATGGCGGTTTTGTCGTTTTGTAATGTCAGTGATTTCGACTATTTATCGTTTCTTTTCTTCGTTAGTTTATTTTTCAATGCATCAGTGAGGGGCGGTGAGGTAGTCTGGTGGTTAAAGCATCGGCTCGTCACGACGAAGGCCCAGGTTTGACTCCTCACATGGGTACAATGTGTGAAGCTCTTTTCTTTTGTGACACTCTGGGATATTGCTGGAATATTGCTAAAAGCAGCATAGAACCAACTCACTCGTAGTCACTGAAACCGTAATCCACGTACCCTGTTTTATAGATACTCAAGTTTAGACTCTTTCAACCAATTTACGTTTTCAAAATTGTTTTTGTGACTTATTACTGTTTTGAGTATACTTTATTAACTGAGGCTGGTAAGTTGCAGGTGAATATTTTGCAAGTCAAATAGGCTGTAGCAGTGTTGCTTGTGCCTTGGTGTTGCTTCTGGAGAGGAATCCACTCCCACCATGTGAATATGTACCATAACACTAGTCACTTTTAGTCCATTTCATGTCATTTTGTATCATTTTGTGTTGAGCTGTAGTTACTTTCATGTTATCATGTTATATATCCTCATCCTATTTGAGTTGTAGTTGATTGTAGTTCATTCCTAGGAATTTGTGAGGGTGGCGGACTCGCTGAGAGCTGTGCCCCGATGTTTACAGATCGATTGATCATTGCTGATACCGTTAACTATGTTAATAAAGGTATCGTAACCAATTACTGCTTGTGTTGTGTTGTTGTTGGACCGAGATTAAGGATGTAGGTAGAAGCAAATATTGCTGAAAATAACATTTGAGCCCATTAGGGATTGTCTTGTAGCGTCTGAGTCCAGAGACCTTCTGACTAAGATCAGGTGGTCAGACTGTCTCTGTGTCTATGACGCCGAAGACCCGGGTTCGATTCCCCACATGGGTACAATGTGTGAAGCTCATATCTGGTGTTCCCCGCCGTGATATTGCTTGAATATTGCTAAAAGCGGCGTAAAAACATACTCACTCACTCACTCACTCTGTGTCTATGTGATATGGGCCAATGCTTATAGCAATCACCTGTTTAGATGATCCAGGGTTATTTTACAGGCCACCATGACATATATGAATTATTTCATACTTCAGCTTTGAAAAGCAAAGGTTGATGTGAGTGAGCTTTATCAGCAATACTGAAATATTTCAAGGATGTTTGATCAAGTGAAAGCAAGTGTGTGTGTGATCATTGAATCAAGTCTTTGATGTGGAGGCATGTATCAGCCAGGTTAGAGCTGGCAGATTGTGTTCAAAAGCAAATTCTTTGAGGTAATCTGATCTTCATAAGTAAAAGCAAAGAAACCTTTCTATCGGAATTGGGGATACGATGGAATAGCAGGCTGTGATTGTATTGAGGTATGACTAATATAAAGGGTTATCACATGCTGTGACTCTACTGCATGGCATACCCTATTGTGTGGTTTATTGTTGATAATATCAATCACCAGATTGTCTAGTCCTGACTACTGTTTAGTTGTGCAGTGTTAAACAACAAAACAAACAAATGGTGGTTTTAGCTCAGACACCAATGCCAACTGTCTAATGGGATGTAGTCATTTTAGGTACAAATAGAAGGTAATTGGAATTTTTGTGTGACATTGATAAGATATCTTCGGCATCATCAAAAAGCTTTGATAGCCAGCAGGTGTAACAAACAGATGGATACAGCTATGCCAAACCTTTTATATGTTACAATGTTATGATTCTGTAAGAAATGACATCATGCTTTGTATTATGTACAGGTCACCTTCACAGACTGGATTAAAATATGACATGCTAAAAATACCAACAACAAAAAAACCTCTTCACAGTTTTAAGTATTCAAATTGTAAATCTAAAGATGTCAAATGATCCAGAGGTCAACAAAAAAACAACCAAGCACGAAATGAACAAAGTTTCACCACTTCTTGAAGGGTTTATGTCAAAGGATGTGAGCATGAAAATCTATTTTGTTGCTTCTTCCTGAACTAGTCATGATATGAAGGTGCTGCTTCCAATATGACCAGGGGTGGTGGGGTAGCCTAGGGGTTAAAGCATTTGCTCGTCACACCGAAAATCCGGGTTCGATTCCCCACATGGGTACAATATGTGAAGCCCATTTCTGGTGTCCCAGGATTTGATATTGCTTGAATATTGCTAAAAGGGGTGTAAAACCCAACTCAATCGCTCCAATATGACCATGAGAACAGACGGGTTATGGACAGGGACATTAGGTGATGATGATGACCACACCAGCTATGTAGCAATAGCCTAGTTGATATAAAAAAGTATCGATTTTGGTAAACAGGGCAACCAGGATGTGAAGATTGGAGACCACCATGTTAGCAGGTACATTGAGGGATCAAGGTAATGCTTTGTTCCAAAAATGCCATACTCCCATAATAAGATATATCAACAATTTTGCGGGGTCGTAAATTGGGAAACTGATCTGTCCAAACCTATTACGATAATACATAACATGTTATATGCCCATAAAATTATGAATAATTACTATTACACACTGGACACATTACCAGTGTTTTCATGCTAAAACAGTTCACTCACATAACAACCGAACCATTTTCTAGATAACTATAATTTCAAAGTGAGTTCACCGAGTCTGCAAACAAATCAATTAAAAAAATGCTGTTACGTAAATCCAAGATAAACGGAGCTCACTTAATCATATGTTCATATTTAGATTAAACATAAGTTGTAGGTAAGTACAACCTGACGTCACGACTAAACACGGTGTCCTTTAATCTGAACTCTAATACATATGAGCAGGGATACTCTACAACAACTCTTATATAGTCTCCCTGATATGAGACAGAATCATCCCTCCAAGTGAAATACCCAGCCAATGGTACAGTCATTTCTTTACCACGACAATACGACCGAAGATACAATTCAAAGTCTTTAATTCAGTGAAAGGCAACGTATCGGTCAGAAGGCAGCGTTCGAAGACCACAATGGTCCTCCTTTCTTGCGCTATCGCTAAACCTACGCTGTGCTGTTCGGTAACTCGGGTAAACACTTTCGATAATGGGTATAGATAGCAGATAGGTACTGCTTTCATATAGAGAAAAGGCACCCTTGCTGTCAACACGCCCCGCTTTGTACCACGAGTCGATCTGTTAACACTGGAACTAGAATGCAAGCGCACGTTGGTTAGGGAGAGAGCACCTGAGAGAGCTCCTGGATAGGCTTTGAAAGTGATATTTTGATTAATTATTGAATGTACATAAACTGATTTTGCATGAGACAAGTGGATTGTGCTTTTCCGTTGGATTAAATAAGGAGATGAGAGACGAAACACACAGTGAGCAGGATTATGTTACTGCCGTGTAAGAGTGGTCATCTTGGTTACAGTGTTAATTAGTTCTTGGAAGGCGTGCGGGGACGAAACATACAGGCTGGTGTTATAGCCGGCATATTCGGATACTTCACAGGCAGCTCAAAGGTATTTGCGAACGGCATTGGAGTGCGTCCTGTAGCTTAATAATTCATACATATTTCTGCGTGATGAAAACGGATGCGCTGTGATCTGAGCTGTGACAAGCAAATATATGTCGCTGCTTAAAAGGATTTAAGTGAAACAGTCCCGTTAGTGAATCTTCTTTTCCGAAATATCAAAATATTCCCCGCTGCGTTCGAAAAATCGACCAACATTCAATATTCAGAGGTGCTTCTACCAGACTGGTTGTAACACCATTTCAAGACAGGAAGTGACCAAACTGTCGTCTGCTTTAGGAATTTATGTCTCATTTGGATCTAATTTTGAATGACGTTTGATTCAGAACAGCTGAAGAGCAACCCTCATAGAGAATGAGTGCCAAACAGACACCTACGTGGGAACAGTACATCGGCGCACTTCTCGAGAAGGGCTACGTCGCCCGAGCCGCCATTTGTCGCATAAAGGACGGCAAGAGATGGGCGGCAAGTCCACGATTTGACGTCACTGCGGCGGAAGTGATGGCTATAGCAGCAGGGTTCGAAGACGGGGGTGCCAAACTGAGAGAGACGGGGCTCTGTGTGGGCTACACCCAGTACACCCTGACCAGAGTCAACACTACCATGATGGTGGGACGGTGTGCAGCCACAGGGTCGGGGTGCGTCATCTACAGATGCGGATCCTGCTTTGTGATAGGTGTGTATGAGGACTCTGCTTGTGCTGGAGGGTGCTTCAACATCATCACACGGATGGGCGACTTCTTGCGCTACGACGGCTACTAGACACGGGTGTTTCTCTATGGAGATTTGTACATACCCTGTTGTACAGTGTTTCAATGATATAGCGTTATGTCATTTTTTTGGTGACGGTTTAAGACTTAATGCATCCCCTTCTTCTTCAGATAGTTATTACATGGTGTGAATATTGTTGTTTTTATGAAAATGAAACCAGCATTTGAGTACAGGTAGACTGGTTCTGGGCCTTTGCTCTTTATCTCAGTTAAGAAGCATATAGCGTTAATGTTTCCACGGATATGACAGTGTTACAGAAAGATCCAAGTGTCCTTCTTTCGAAAACATTTCCAATCGGAACAGTTTGTTCGGGTCGACCATCCATCCACGTCAACGTCTCTGCAGCACAGTGCCAACTAAACCGAGACTATCCCAAGCAACAAGACATGAAGATGACTGTAACACATTCGCATCCCGCCAACCACCCCGTACTTTTCAGTCTGTACGAATGGACACAGAGAATAATAATGTACCATGCCGAACAGTATTAAAAGTTCTGAACGAACCCGGTAACATGAGTTCAGCCTTATTTGTAACGAATATTGTATCAAGCAGATCCTCAGCTTTTGGGGCCTGTTATTCATTACAGTGGTGGTGGTGTGTGTGTGTGTGTGTGTGTGTGTGTGTGTGTGTGTGTGTGTGTGTGTGTGTGTGTGTGTGTGGATTTTATTTTAAACCATAAAGATAATCACAAAAACTTCATATACGTTCTTTACCCAATATACCGGTTCTAAGAAAAAAATATTGCAATACGTATTGCTTGAAAAGCGCATTGCAATATACCGGTATACCGGTCTTCAGTAACCCATGATTGTCGTAAGAGGCGACAAAAAGGGATCGGGTGGTCAGGCTTGCTGACTAGGTTGGCACGTGCATCATTTGCGTACATTGATGCTCATGCTGTTGATCGCTGGATTGTCTGGTCCAGACCGCCGCCACATAGCTGGAGTATTGCTGAGTGCGCTGTAGGACCACAAACCAAACCAAACATATTTGGATAGTGCATCAATAGGCGTCTGATGACTGACAGACATTTAACGTCGACTGCATGCGGTCATTAAACATACATCTCATTGCTTGTAGATTCCTTAACTTTATAGAACTGGAGAAGATTCAGTTTGAAAAGACAATTAATTCCTTCTAAAATTAGAACTTGAAAATACCTTGGCTTATTTGTCGTAAGAGGCGACAAAAGGGATCGGGTGGTCAGGCTTGCTGACTAGGTTGGCACGTGCATCATTTGCGTACATTGATGCTCATGCTGTTGATCGCTGGATTGTCTGGTCCAGACCGCCGCCACATAGCTGGAGTATTGCTGAGTGCGCTGTAGGACCACAAACCAAACCAAACATATTTGGATAGTGCATCAATAGGCGTCTGATGACTGACAGACATTTAACGTCGACTGCATGCGGTCATTAAACATACATCTCATTGCTTGTAGATTCCTTAACTTTATAGAACTGGAGAAGATTCAGTTTGAAAAGACAATTAATTCCTTCTAAAATTAGAACTTGAAAAATACCTTGGCTTATAAGCAAGGCATGCATTACTTATTGCCAATGATTCATGAACAAATTATACTTGTGTGAATATTTGCTAAGATGCATATCCCTTGAATAGATTTTAGAGGTTTTCGGGGTTTTCCGCTATAGTTTGTGTTTTTTTCTTGTAACGTAAACAAATTACCACTTTTGTGTGACCTTGGTGTATGTTTGGAAATATGTTGGGTGTATGGTTACAAAGCATAACGACTAACACTACACAAATCATGATTGCATAATGCCTTTTTGAAAGTGGCCAAATGTAAGACGTTATGTTATATTTGGGATTACGATATCTCAGTATCGTAGACCCGTTAAGATCCGGTGTAGAATAGGTCTTCAGCAACCCATGCTAGCCACAAAAGGCGACTATTCTTGTCGTAAGAGACGACTAACGGGATCGGGTGGTCAGGCTCGTTGACTTGGCTGACAAATGTCATCGGTTCCCAATTGCGCAGATCGATGCTCATGCTGTTGATCACTGGATTGTCTGGTCCAGACTCGATTAATTACATACCACTGCCATATATCTGGAATATTGCTGAGTGCGGCGTAAAACTAAACTCACTCACTCTCAGTAGAGTACAGGTTGAAGTAGTTTTGGGTTGAGTCGCAACCGGAATTCGAACCCAACAAAACGAGGCACCACTCTGTGGAGGCTGAGTGGGTTAGATCGCTGTGTGCTGGCATTACTATAGAAATACTACATTTGTTACCATATGAATTATTTGTGCCAAAATACACATACTATTTTTGTTTGGAGGGTTAGATTGAAGAATAAACTGCTCGTAATGCTGCTTTTGATATATTGATACTGTTCTTGTGCTTTGATCCATACTATAGCATCAGGTATGGTCGCCGTGTGCTGTAATGTGTGGATCGTGTTGTGAAGGATCCATATGGATCTGAGTGTCGACATACACTGATCAATCATCGCGACCGTCATTATTACAACAGCATGTACATGCTTCAAACGTGTGCAGACAGTTTGAGTTTCCGTTCCCAAGGTGACGGAAATTTGAGACTTCACGTTGCCATGGTACTACGCGGGTTCATCCGCTATACGTTAATAAGTGATGAAGAGGGCGTGCAGATTTAAGTGTTATACATACTCGTGTCCAATTCCTATTTCATAAGGAGCAGTTACAAGGACGGTAACAGTAAATTATATAACTTCCGGCTCTTTAGAACTTGATACCACAATTTGTCATCATTGTGATTATGTGAACATACAAAACTCCGTAAAAAGCTGCATATTAATATTTCTTCCATAATGCGAATTTCTTTTAGATATATAATGTATTTTTTTAATGTATATGGCCTTAAAAAACGTACCAACTATCCCAATTAAAAGTTTACTAAGGGACCTGTCATAAACTAGTGGGTTGGGTGGCGTGCGCGGCGAGTGGGGTGACGGTAGGGGGTGCGGGTGTGGTTTATTCTTAGTCTAAGGACTGTATCTTATTTCGCTGACCAGCCTGGCACTTTATGTGTCGGTGCCTCCCCACCATCTATCATGCTATTGATGACCAGACCCACCAAACCCCTACGATATATAGCCGAGGTACAGTTTACCATTCCTGCTCATTCTCTGTGACATTTTTAGTGAGACACCCGCTTCGTTATAATGGAGTGGGTGAGTGAGTTTAGTTTTACGACGTTTTTGCAATATTCCAGCAATATCACGACGGTAGACACCAGAAATGGGCTTCACACATTTTACCCATGTGGGGAATCGAACCCGGGTCTTCGGCGTGACAAGCGAACGCTTTAATCACTAGGCTACCCCACCGCCCCCGTGGGAGAAGGGAGAGATCGTGCAGGAAACGGCTTGCACATGCGCAGCACGCCACAGCACGTTACCTATTGTAATGGTTTTCTTAGAGCTGGAATGCTGTAATGAGTTGTAGATACATATCATATAATTACCCATAGTTAAGATTTAAGATAATTTTCTTCACAACTGTTATCTTTGTTAGCCTTCAGTGTTGTTGGGAACAAATTATACTCGTTCGTGTACGTAGAGATACGGCGTTTGACAACATGTCCTGAAACAGCTCACTGAACCGAGCAGTGCTTCATTGAAGGTACGAAGGCTATGTCTGACAAAGTCCTGTAACGAAATCTTAGCAAATATTCACACATGACTCTCGAATTCGAAATAAATTGAAGCTAAAAGAAAACCTTATTTAAAACAAATGATGACACAGCTTTGGACCCAATTCGATTTCTTAGAAGTCGCCACAATATACAAGCAGTCGTGATACACCAAGAATATCAGATTCTTTGAGCATTCACTCACGTGTGTTTCCAAAGAGGGAAATCTAGGCGTGCAATAACATAAACGATATGGTTATGTAGCATCCTGTGAGTGTATATCCTGAACGTGATAAGAAACGGAACGCCCTACTTATAGGTTTTAAAGATAATGCTAGACTCACTAAAGCGTCTGTCTGGAGAAGATCCAGGCTAGAATTAATCTTCAGCAACCCATGCTTGTCATAAAAGGCGACAAACGGAATCGGGTGGTCAGGCTCGCTGACTTGGTTGACACATGTTATCGTATCCCAATTGCGTACATCGATGCTCATGCTCTTGATCACTGGATTGTGATTACCAAACAAACAAACCCAACCCGGAAACCCGGTGGTAATATCTTCAAAGCATTACGCCCGACTTCATTAATTTAGTGCAAACCATGATTTGGTTACTGAAACGTTCTACTAACCAAAGTTACTGAACCTCTTTATTCTTTCTTCAAGGGGGCGGTGGGGTAGCCTTGTGGTTAAAGCGTTGGCTCGTCACGCCGAAGACCCGGGTTCGAATCCCCACATGGGTACAATGAGTGAAGCCCATTTTGTGGTGTCCCCCGCCGTGATATTGCTGGAATATTGCTAAAAGCGGCGTAAAACCAAACTCAGTCAGTCAGTCAGTCTTTCTTCAAGTGAATAAAGCGTCACTTTGCTATCACAACCTTCACACACTCTTCTCCGTTCCTGTCTGTGTAGATGACTCAACGTCATGATATATGTGGGCTGTCTTGAAGATCGGCGTCAAAGGGGTCAGATTTGTTTATGACCCACGTTTGTGAATTGATAGATCGTGTGTATTATAAGTGTGCATATTTTAACAATCCTCGTATTCGCAAGCTGAGGTGCTTAGCGTCGCCAGTGCTGGATGAACGGTTGACTTGGTGTGAACAGAGGCACAAAGGGCACCATGAACTCGTATTGAGTGGAACTATCGGTTATTTCGTACAAGGTGTTCTAATAAAAAATACTCTTTGCTTTGGTCAGTTGTAGGAATACTGTACCACTTGTGTAGACGTGTATGTGTCCGAGCGCGTACGTACATGCAGTGTTTGCAATACTTTAATTTGCCAGTTGGCCATAAGGGCCTACTGCCGCTTGCAGGCTTTAAATTCTGGAGGCGCTGAATGAATTCTGCAGGCCCTTTAGTTGAAATCAAACCAATAAAAATAAAATAGACTACACTGTACACAGTTTCAATCGGTTTCTACAAAATTAATTAGCGAAGCCTATGGCGAAGAGAGAAGGTTTTAATTTACTTGTTAAAGACTGGTGTTGACATTCCTATGCGCAAAGTGCTGAAATACCTAGACGTGAAACTGTCTGACATTCGTAACATCATGTATCATGTATGATTCCCGAACGTTAATAAAGAAAAAAATTATGGGAAGGATTCCAGTTGGAAAAAAATGACAGATATTTACTGAAGGCCACAAGGGTCTGCAAATATCTGAAACTGCAGGCCCGACGCAATAACAACCGGCGCTGGGCCTCTGGGCCGGCGATTATTTCGAACGCTGCGTACATGTGTGTATAGCGGAAAAGGTAACTGTACTTTGACAAAATTGGGGGTGCTGGGGTAGCTTAGTGGTTAAAGCATTCACTCGTCACGATCAAGACCGGGTTCGATTCCCCACATATGAGTAC